TCCTGATTTGTCTTTGAATATATTTGTGATAATAATTTAGAAGCTTTGTGAAGGTGTTGTCAGTTTCAGCTCTGGACCAAACAAAGAATCTATTAAAGGAGAATATAATCAGGAGTGGTGCAGCAGATCACAAATCTGAAGGTTCAGATCACAGCACTGATTGGATCGCTTTTTCAGGTTGGCCAATTAAACACACATTTCCGATATAACTTTTCTCCTCCTCTGCTAGCCTCAAACTACAAAATGCATTCTATTCCCAGGTTCTGCCAACGAATCAGAGTGAAGCATGGCGCAAAGCTGTAGGACACGCCCACCAGGAAGCTCAATCAAATTTCCCTGCGACTGCAAACTTTTCCATTTCAACACTTGATCAGTGATAAATAAACTGGGACAAAGACAGTAGCCCAATTAAATGCCCTCATCAAGAGATAACTCCCTTTATCTCAAGATGTGCACGCACATATATGATTTTTATGGATTTCTTATTTTCATGTGTTTATGTTTCCTGTTCTGTCCGTCTGCTTTAGAAAATACATTATATGAAATAAAAAAAAAATCTGATCAGCCCTGACTTTGAGAAATCCTGCTGAGTCAGGCCCCTCCTACCTGTCGGTGGGTCCCAGAGCGAGCCTCTCCAGGTGGAGGTGCAGCCTCTGGTCCTTGGGGGCCTCCAGAGACCAGGAACAGGAGCGGTCCTGGGTGGCGTTGGGCCCGTGGTGAGGTGATGGAGACAGCACACGCCCTACTGTGGCGTTCTTCAGCGTGCCTCCACACAGAGCTGCAGAGAGGGGGAGACACTGAGGGTCACGTCGCTCCATTCAGAGACACAAAGAGGGCGTTCAGCGTGCAGCACTTTGACACACCGACTCACTGTGAAGAGAGGAAATACTCTTCTTCTTTTTGGATTACAAGTTCACTAAATATTGGAAACTAACAAGAAAACATGTTGAGGTGTCTTATAAAAGTCAAAGACAACTTTATTAAATATTAAAGAAAACAAAAAATCATGAAGTTACGATGAGTTGGTTCACTGTCAGCTGATATGATGACATTATTTCACATTTCCAAACAGTTTTTTGTGATTAAAAACCTGTGCTCTAGTTGGACCTTCTTAACGGGACACTCACCTCTGCAGGTTGGAACTTTCCCGCTCCACACCGGCAGGGAGGCGTTGAGGCAGGTGAGCAGCGTCTCCCCCTGCAGGTGGTAACCCATGTGACAGTGAAAGCGGGCGACGCCTCCTGGCAGCAGGTCCAGCACGGACACCTCCCCGTAGTGAGGCCTCTTGGGCAGCGCGCAGCTGAGTCTGAAGACTGAACGCAAAAACAGAGACAGCAGGGAGGAGGCGGTTAAGATACAAATACAATAACTGAATGCTTTAGTCACTATTACTGCTGTTATTACTTTAACCAATTAAATGGTTTTACAGCTACATTATTTAAGCTTCTGCACTAATGCTGCCTTCTATAACACCCACTGCAAAGAGAATACTACTATCAGTGAAATCATTAATAATTTATTATTTCCATGTTCAGCATCCTTTGCATGAACCCCCACTGCATCATCATCGTATGTAGGCTTATACATATAAATTATAAAAATGCTAATTCTGATATTTACATAGCAGGCATTTAACTAAATAATAGATCAAACATGAGACTATCAGAAATAAAGGTCCAGTCAGTGAGATGTGTAGAGAGTGAGATGATAAAGGTATCTTACTATCTGATCATTAAGGAAACATGCTATGTTGAAGTGCTGGCTTCTCTGACAACAATGCAGCAGCCAGTATGTCCTCCTTCTAACTTTAGATTCTGCTCCTGAATGCTCTGGATTTGTTTGGACCAGAGAAGGTAGGCGCTTTTAAGACACGGTCGTTTTGGACGCCCCTCGGGTTGTCAGATATGAGAGCAGTTATCAGGTCAACAGGTGTTGCAGCGATGGAAGCGGTCAAGAGAAGTGGTTCAGATAGAAGTGATTGTACCCGACCTAAAAAGCCTCTGCATGTTTCTAATAAGCTCCACGAGCAGAAACGTGCTCAAACTAGGATCAATATTGGAGATGCTTTTGAAAAATGGAGAGAGGTTAGAACACAGAAAGGTTTACAGACCCATGCAGAGCTGGATAAACACTGAAGCTTCAGAGTCCACCACATGGTGACCTGAGTGAGCATCCACTCTAGAGAGGAGGAGGGGGGGGAGACAGCTCTCTATGATGTTTAGACTGCAGTACCCATTTTAAACACTAGGTGTCAAAGTTACATACTGCTCCTTTAATCACCAGCCTGTTAGTTTATAAAATAATTAATATTCAACATTCTGTGTGTAAATTGAGCTAAATCAAAGGAAGCCTGGGTAAATATAGAGTAGAGTAAAGACTTCCTAAAAAAGAGAGTGAAGTCAAACTCTCTCTGGGTTTGTTGTTTTGAGCGCTGTGTTCACACTTATGGGACTTGATGAAAATATTCTGTGTGATCCAGACTGAAAATTTACAGTAAGAAATCAAAGTCACAAAATAACAACAAACAAACAGAAACAGCAGCTGACCGTCGACTGCCTCGTTCTGAACGGTAAAATTACTGTTTTTGTTGGCTGGCTTTGAAGAGAGCGATTTAACAGCTCTTTTCTGTTGTTTTTTTTTAAAAGGGATTATTCCTCAACAAAAAGGTTTATCTCTGCAGGGATCTTCTCTATTAATTTGTCAGACAGTTTTAAACAGGAATCCCACTTCCTGTGAAGGATCTGGACGTCTGGAGATCCGCCTGCGAGGTCGACGTCTTTGTTTCTAATCTTTTTTTTTTTGACGGCCACTCGAGAAATCAAAACCCCCTCAGGTGAATGTAAATTGAATAATCGTTATGATATTTATAAGCTCCTTAAGCTGTGACGGATATTCAACCTTTTCTTTTTTAAGTTGTCTGTGTTCTTCCCATTCCCTTAACGCTGTTTTTCACACCTCGTCTTAAGCGTATCTCCGTCTGCAAAGCGGTTTAATCTCCATCAGCACGACGCCGCTACCTGCAGCTGACGTAACAGGATTAGATGACTTTGATAAATGGCACAGGTGGGTCTTAACACTCTGATGCCTTCCTCCTCTGCAGTCCTCATCATATCCATTTCAGACTGCTGGCACGACCAAGCATGCCCACACACACACACAAACACACACACAAAGAACGCACAGAAACACACACACAAACAACGCACAGAAACACACACACAACACACACACAAACAACGCACAGAAACACACACAAAAACAACGCACAGAAAACACACACGTGCTATACAAACTCGGGTATTTTCGGCCCCTAATGAGATGAGCGCCAATTAATCAGAGCTCTAATCAGCTAATTCAAACGACATATTCAATCACCGTGCTAAGTGATTAGATGAGAAGATTTTTGATGATGTAATTAGCATGTAAAGAGAGAACAAACAGCCCCTGTGGACCGCCATGAAGAACGCCATGTTTTGAATTTACACGGTGTGTTTATGCATGTGTAAATATTCAATGTTTGTGTGTTTTGCCGACTCACTCTGGTAGTGCAGCTGGAAGAAGCCCACGTTCCCGTCCAGAGCGGAGCGGTAGTAGACGGACAGCGTGTTGGTGGGGCTGCGGATCACCTGACCTTCCACCAGCAGCGTGTGGTTGGCGAGGACCAGCAGGGCGCCGCGTTCATCCGCACCCCTGATGGAGAGCTGCTCGCCCTCCGACAGGTTCACACTCTTTACCTGAATGGAAAGAAGTACTCTTATTATTCCAGGAACAGGGCGCCACAGGAAGGAGTTCTTAAACCAGGAAGTAAGTTAGCATTTTAGCGCCACATGGTTGTTTGGCTCAAACTCGTTTTTTTTCGAGTCTGTGGTTAGATTCCTGAAATAAGATCGGTGGTTAATACAAGCATGCGAGATGTTTGCATTTCGTTACAAGGCATTTAACACGTTTGTGATTAACCCCCACTTGTGAAATTTTTACACGTCTTTAAAAAGGCGGTTGCTAACAAGTGGCTAAATGAAACTACAGTTCGGTTGTCGGGGACATTAAAGGCCATCATCTCTGTTTGAAGTTACAATTAGACACGAGGTCTCCTGCAGGTTTCATTTTTTGGTTAATGAACAATTTATTAGGCTACGGTGTCGCTAGCTAGCCAAAACCGCTAGTTAGCTAAAACCGCTAGTTAACATGTCGGAGACATCCAGACACATAGAGGTGGTTGACGTTGAAGCCTTGCAAACACGAAGTCGTTCGCTTGTAGCGTAACGTTAGCTTTTCATTGCTGGGGATTGCATTAACGCTTCAAACATCATAAAAGCGGTGTTCATTTTGATTTGTGAAGATTATCTTTCTGAACCAAACTCGAACGCATCATAAACGTGTGTTTGCCAGAGAGTTTATTTTCTTCCAAAATCAGATGCAAATACCCCATAGGTGATTTTTAGAATGACCCCATGGTGATGCTAACTTCCTGGTTGTCCTGCAAAAATATGTTGTTTTTTTCCCTCCCTGTAGTCACCAATCTCATCAAACTCCAAATTGTCTCAAAAAGTCACTTGAGGGAAGAATGTGGAGGCTGTGTGTGACACGTGCTCAGCTTGAAGGAATAAAATAAGTCCATTCTTCTTCCAGTTTGATCCATTTATTTACTGAATTCTGATCATTTTACCCAGGATATAAAACTGGGCTCCATTGTGTCCATAAACAAAAAAACAAACAAAAGGTTTCCATTTTATACAATCAGGGTCAGCAATCCTGTCCCGATTCCTCTCCATTGGTTTCAAAAGCAAATCTTAAACACACAGAGTTTTCCAAAACACTCCTAGAGGTCGTAACCGAGGGAAGTGGACGTTAACTCCCGTAACCTAGCAACAAAAGTGCCGTTGCCAAACAACTGTGGTACAACATATCTGTTGAGCACAAAGAAAAAGTTAATCTGAGAGGAAGAAAGCAAAAGAATATCGGAACCAATAACTTCAAAACATTTAAAAAAGTTAGGCTACAACATCCCGAGTCTTTGTTTAAAGTGTAAAAGTATTAGCATCTAAACATATTTAACGTATTAGACTGAAGAAACAAAAGCTCACGTAGAGGTGTGTGGATATAACAAGGGATGAATGTGGAGGAGTGAAAATATGTAGACTGTTTTCTCCCTTAATCTCATTTATTAAAAATGTGGGAGCAGTTCCAGTTCCTGGCTTTGGGATTTCAGTTAGCACCATGATGTCGAATAAAAGACCAGAAAAAAAACACAACCACAGTACAAACCGAGTTTTTACGAGTTCTAACACGTTGGAGAGGAGCAGAGCTCATTTTGTCAGGGACTTTGGTAATATATGAAATCTGTGTGCCGTGCCAATAAAACTGTCACTTCCAGTGAACCGCAATTAAATCTGCAGTGTGTGTGTGAGTGTGCTTGTTTTGCTACCTTTGTGAGGACCATCCAAGTTTTTTTAACATTTTAATGAGGACCCTCCTACTTTGTCTTCATCTGAGGGTTAGAGTTTAGTTCAGTGAGGATGTTTTCAAACCTACGGCTCATTTGCTCTGCGTAGGTAAACAAATGGAATGCATTCTTATCACGCTTTGCATTGTGGGATGCTATTTAGCTTGTTACCCTAACAACAAAATGAGTGGTGGTGTGACTTGGAGCAGCGAGGAGGTCAAATATCTCATCGACATTTGGGCAGATGAACATATCTGTCAAATGTTGGATTACCACTAAATTGAAAAACTTGTGAATCAGCGCACGAACGAGAGGGGCTTCGATTGCTCTGCAGGTGTTACGGTTTAATCTGTGACCCTGATAACATGGCGACTTTGAGGCGAATACCTCTGAGGCTGTTTGATGAAAATGTCTTCATTTAATACACATCTGCTGAGTTCATTTGATAAATAATGAAAAAATAAAAAAGAGGCGTTCACGATGACTCTTACTGTTTTCATGCAGCTGAAGGTCATCAGTTAACACGGTCACTCTTTAAGCCGTAACACCTGTTAGCAGTGTCTGCAAAGAAACTCCAACAGGGTCGTATGAAGTTATGAGACAAGACCAGATTTTCTAACTTCTGCTTGGTCCTTTGAGTGGGCAGCCCGGGTTCAGGTCTGACCTGTGGTGGATCCTTGTCCTGCATATCTGCCCCACCCCTCCCCACCCCCCTCTCTCTCTATCCACTGCTCTGTTTCTAAATAAAGGCATAAAAAGACCCCAAAAACAAACCCTTAAGAAAAAATCAAATGCAAGAGGGATATGTGTGTTTTTTTTTTTTTTATCTCAACAGCTGTGAAGTCAAGCCAATGAAGACTTTTATAGAAGCAGCTGCCACCAGGGGGCAGAGTTTAACCTGGGATCAGATCACTGGTCCTCTAACGGACAAAAACAAACAGACACAAACACACAGCAGCACTCTCCAACAACAACATGATGTCCAGCATGATAAACAGAGACCCTGCAAACACTGTGTGTGTGTGTGTGTGTGTGTGTGTTCAGTACTGGCATGCTGCGGATGTTTCTACCTGCAGCTCCACTCCATAGCCGGTGTACACCGTCACTGTGTAGGTGCAGTGCAGGTAGGTGGTGTCGGGCAGAGGGGGGTCATCAGACGAGTCAATGTACCCCTCTGGGTCGGAGAAATTCACCATGCAGCTCGACAAAGCTGCAGAGGAGAGAGAGCAGAGGAGGAGTTGATTTCTGCAGCCACCGAATTGTTTTCCTCATCCCTGCCTTGTAATCTCTTTAAAGCGAGCACCGACTGGAAAAGTCATTGGAAATCCCCCGCTGTGTTTTAATTAATGACGGAAATTACAGGGATAAAAAAAACGGCTGCACAGCAAGGACTCCCGGCTGTTAACGGTGACATGAGATAAATAATGACATCCTCTCCAGAGGCTTTGATCAGCGGTGAGTGAACGATTCAGATACTAGACGTAAAACAACATTTTGAAAAAAAAAAATCTCAACTTAATCATCAAACAAAAGCACTGATGAGGAATTTATTCAAGCATGATGCTGCTCTTTTTAAATCTCGGCCGTCAAATGGAAGACTAATGAAACCGCTGCAGTAGATCGTCCACGCCTGCAGCTTTGAAACAGGCTGTAAAGGCTGTGATGTCATCCTCGATTTCAAACGCTCGCGATGGGGTCAGCCCTATGTTCCCACATTTCTAAGATTTTTCTTAAAATTAGGCGCTATGTTCCTTTTCAAAATTAAACCCTATGTTCCCACATTTCTAGTAAAATTTCAAAATGAGGTCTTGTGTTCCTACATTTCCCTTCAATTTAAGCCCTGTCCTCCCACAAGACTTTTTGGAAGCACTTAATAGTAAATTAATGAATGAGTAATTTTATTTCGATCAGCAGCAGCAGAAATTGTCACAATCACAATCATTACAAGAAAAAATAAAACAGGCTGATCGAAAAGGGTTTCGGCTGAAGCAGAGCTTATAGATGCCGAACCCTTGTTTTCATAAAATCTTAGAACTGTGGGAACATAGGCACGCTCCCCTCGCGATCAACGTACCTCCTCTAAAACTTCTGTTTTTTTGCCACTGACAGACTCAGATTGTGCAAGTGTCTTAAAGGCCCATATTATGCTTTTTCTGGTTTTATCTGCTCTTTAGTGTGTTTTCCAAGTGTCCTGTGCATGTTTAGGTTCAGCTATGTGCAAAAATTCAAAGTCCGTGGAAACGCAGCTTCTCCTACGTCCTCCTGTTAGCTGTAGCATTAGCTACATGTAACGCTCGGTTCTAGCCCCCCTCGAAAATATTTGCCAGTGTGACGTCTTGTCAGTGTGATATCACTGATCTCAGCCCATTGGCTCGTTGTGGTAAGCCCAGCAGCTCATGTTGCACGCCCACGACATGCCGTAGCCTGCGGTAGCACAGTAGTACTAAGGTGCTAATGTTTATGCTCCCTGGCCCTCGGAGCCAAAGTGGCTGCATTCCCAATATGGTAAAAGGGGCGGGACATTTCTGAGAACTGTGCTGAGTGATTGACCAATTACGACAGAGCCAACAGGCCGACCAATCAGATCAGACTTGGCACACGTGGGGACTCTGAACGTGGTCACTTAGAGAGAGAGTCAGAAGAGAGCCGGTGCACGGAGCGGCAGGACATGAAAACAGACACTGAACTAATAGGTACATAGATTAAATATACCAACCCCAAACAGGGCATAATATGGGTTCTTTAACATCATTGCAGACATGATCCCAGCACATAAAGAGCTTTTCCTTCAAGACGATGTTTTGAGCCCAAAAAAATTAAATAGCCGCTAAAATCGCTCTCCTAAAAGCCACCGGACTCCATTGAGGAAAAACAGAACTTTTAGCCTGCAGACACTGTCCAGTTGGTGGTCTATCGATGCCTGAGTCAGTCATTTGTTTGTGTTATTTATTTTTTTTGCAGCAGTACTGTGTTGTAGCTGAACTAACTGATTAAAACACTGAATTAAAAAAAACAACACAAACAAAGACACCAAAAGTGAAATTACTGTTTTTGTGAGTGGAGTTTAGTGTCTTCTGAGAGACTGCTGAACTTTCTGTTTCTGGTTAATAGAATGTATGTTACATCCTCTACCAATCAGAAGTCAGTTGATAATTGTGGTATGTACCTTTAAGACATACTGTGTTGCTAAGTTACCAGAGGAGCGTGTGTTTTTTTAACCCTCAGTTTGTTTGAGTGGCGCTTCTGCAATGGATTGATGTCTGTAATCGAGTTCCTATATTTCCTTTTTCCTCTCGACTCATCAGTATCGTGAGGCTTCATGTTGACGTCGTAATAATGATGACAGACATGAAAACCTGTGTTTGTGTAAAAGCCTCACTTTGCCTTTTTTTTTTTGTCTTTTTTGTCTTCATACTTTGCTATTTTAAGGAAGGCTTACAAACTTTGCGATCACTACTCATACCTGGAGGAGGTGTTCCTGTCTCTGTGTCCACATCCGGCACCGTGCCCACAGTGGTAATCTCGGCCTCCAGCTCCGGCGTGTGTGTCTGTGTGTGCGGCGGCAGGGAGTGTGTGTCTGTAGGCGGAGGCTCTGTTGGATCGCTGCCCGGGCCTGACGCTGCAGCTGATGCTGGGGGTTTTACTCTCCTCAGTAATCCCCCGCCTTCACGCTCCGGGGAGCTGACACTGAGTCCTCTGCCCAGAAGAGGGAGCAGGTTCTGGGGCAGAGAGGAGGGCAGGATGTCCCCTTTCTGGGAGACAAGTCGTCCTTTTTGAGTGAGCACTGTGTGCAGCAAACCTCCAGCTAATGCACCGGAGGTTTTGGCTTTGGGGCTGTTTTCCTTTGTGCTCCCCGGTGTTGCCACTGGAGATCGGGCAGAGGGGACGGCGGTGGGGACTTCTTTATCTGGAAGGAGAGAAAGAGGAGAGAAATCTTTGAAAAATGGCCCCGAGAGCTCGACTTTGGGTGGCTCTGTCACCGTCCAGCTGGGCTTATCGGGGAGAGGGGTTATCTGGAGCCTGCACAGCTGAAGCCCAGTCGAGCTTACCTTCATTCTTCAAGCACACACACAACATACAGATAGTGCACATACACACACACACACACACACACACACACACACAATGTAAGACAGTGTCACAGAGAGACAGGGCAGTTAAGCATGACAGGAGCAAAGAGAAGGGGGGGAGAGAAAGTAAAAAAAAAAAGAAGAAATGCAAAGACAGGCAAACTGCTCTGCCGTGCATGCTAAAACGCCATCTCCAGCAGCTTAGTTCAAAAACAGCACAGAGCAGCATTTACACACACACACACACACACACACACACACACACACACACACACACACACACACACACACACACACACACACACACACACACACATGTCTTCTTGCCGGCATACTTTACGGTCCACTTGCACAACAAGCAGCAGAAACACACACACACACTGATGGAGCCCTTGCGGTGCAGCTTCACTTTAATCTACATTTGAGTGTCATTTAAACCGCACAGGCCGCTGCAGCTCTGCAGCCTGTCATTCATAAGTCTGAGGGAGAAAATATCCTCTTTGTAACGTCGGCAACAAACCCGAGCTTTTTCCTTCTTGTTCTGCTAATTTTTCATCTCCAGACGGGAAATAAATATCCTTTTTTTTTAATTCCTGGTTGTGTACCTGCATTAAGCTCGACGTGCGGTCATCAAGAAACTCATTTCAGCTCTCACAGCGTGCAATTATTTAGTCAGACACACAGCAGCAGATGTTGACACACACACACACACTCTTTAAAATATGCTGGAGCGTTCCTGCTCTTGCTGTCCTCTGGAAATTCTCTTCTGATATTTTCATTGAATTTAATTTGACTGAAAATCACAGTAATTATGTCGACATAAAAACATTTTTCTAAATAATTGTGTGTGACTTGTTGTCTGAGAGAAACATTTACCGACTGAGAAATGAGGGAAATAAATCAAACAGTATGAAAAGTATACAGCATGATGCAGCATGCTTTACGCAGAGAGTAAAGAATAGAGAAATATTTATTGTCTTCCAAAGGTGGTGATATGCCTCAGGCTCTCCACATACGTAAAACAGCACAAAAACATTCAGGCAACCCTTCATCAAATCAAAACTGATGAGTCAACATTCACCCCCCGTACAGTGTGTGTCCATCGAGACATGAGCTAATCACACCTATTTGGTTTTTTGAACCAGGCTGTAAACATGTTCATCTCTGCTGTAAAAACAAGCTTTTTGAATGGGTGTGTATGTGACTTCCTGTGCTTCTGCAGCTAGCCTCTAGTGGACACTCGAGGAACTACAGGATTTTAACACATCAGCATCGGCACCGCTTGACTAAATGTAATCCTGGTAGAAATTCTTTGATTGCAGAAATGTTTTCTCCACGTGTTATCAAAATCACTCAGCAGGAAGGCATGGATCCAAGTCTTCAACGATGGAGAATTCATCAAACACAAACATCATTTCTTCATCGAGTGGATCCGACAAAAAACGGATCGAACACAAAAAAAAGAGAGAGAGCCTTCCTATAGATCAATATATGTGATGTCACAAGGGTCACTCAAGGTCACAAACACACAGTCCATGTCACAGACTTTGACTTTAAAGATGTATTTTTGTGCCGTTATTGTAGAGATAGCGTTAGTCTTCTGTGATTATAACAGCCTCTGATATCGAGAGGGAATCCCGTTCTCCATCAGCATGCTGCGGCGGACGCAGAAATCTCTGACGGGTGTCTGAAGGCAACATTGAGCTCTGTGGGAGGAGCTATTTCAGCTTTGAAGGCGCTTTGACACCTTTGGTCAGCAGGATACTCTTCCCTGGTTGAATCATCAGTTCTTCAAATAAAATATATAATTTATTGATTTAAAGCCTTTTGCATAGAATGCACAAAAAACATTTTAAATATGCAAGAAGAAAAATACAAAACAACATGCACAACCCATCATGCACCACCAGCCACCACCATCGTACTGTATCATCCCCACAACCACCTCCGTCCTCATTCATGCACGTTCTGCTCCGACTTCCACCTCAGCGGCGAGGAAGTGTGGACAACAGGAACGCAAAGAATACAAAAGAGAAATCCTTCCTTCATACTTTTTGTATGAGCTTCTTGAGATAAAACTTATGACTTGGCGCTATAAAAATGATTCTTAATTGATCCCTCAGTTGGTGCTTGATCCAAAAACAATAATACTTTTTATGTTGACATATCATATCCAATCAGGGAAGCTGCATTAATCTGACAGGACCAGATAAACATCTTAATTCACAAAATAAGATAATACAAATTTAAAGGTTCTATTTTTTCTGTTTAGTGTAATGGAGGTGTGGGTAGAGTAATATCTCAGGCTGTGAGATCAGTTCATGGTGCCCAGATAAATCCTGGCGCCGCCCCTGGGAAGATGTTTTGTCTCTGACAGACTTCATAAAGCAGAGCCTGCTGAACATATCGTTAAATTAACGTCCTGTCGTGTCTCAGAATAATGAGCTGACACCTTCTGCAGGTGAGCTGCTACCTGACTCATTTGGTTTGCCCGTCAGATGAATAATTAAAGCCCAGATGTTGTTCCGTCTATTAAAGCACAGATTGTGTTTATAACCAGTCCCCCCCCCCCCCCCACTCACACACAGCACAGTTTTCCAGATTAATGTGTGACGTTTAGTCCTGCAGGGGGGGAACACATCCGACATGTTGATGACGGCCGACAGACTTGTGGCATTTTGGTGTTTTTTTGATGAGAATTCGCTGTGACATGAGCTGTTGTGACGGTTTTAGTTTGACAGGAACATTCAGCCTTCTGGAGAGACTGTCAGCAGAGAGATTTGTCACACAAATCACAAATCAAAAATGATTTCATACTAATAACGGTGAAAAACAGAAAGTCTGTGGGGGAAAACAACCGTACAAAAATGTTTCTTAAAGGTCCAATCAGTGAGATGTGTAGAGAGTGAGATGATAAAGGTATCTTACTCTCTGATCATTAAGGAAACATGCTATGTTGAAGTGCTGGCTTCTCTAACAACAATGCAGCAGCCAGTATGTCCTCCTTCTAACTTTAGATTCTGCTCCTGAATGCTCTGGATTTGTTTGGACCAGAGGTAGGCACTTTTAAGACACCCCCCCACGGCCGTTTTGGACACCCCTCGGTTTGTCAGATATGACAGCAGTTATCAGGTCAAACCAACAGGTGTTGCAGTGATGGAAGCGTCGCTTTTGGAAACTTTAGACTAAGGTTGTTAAAAGTTTCAAAACGCTTCCAAAATAATTGGTCTCCCCGCACTCGACCTCACAGCGTCGAACAGTTAAGCCATCACACGCTCTGCGACCACAAAAGAACAGGACAATAAATCAGCACCTCACTCTTCTGCCCTCTTTGTGAACAGAGCGCCGAGGTGCAGGACGGCTCGCTTCGGGAAAGAAACCTGATCCCTGCAGCCATGACCGCCCTTAACAGCAGGTGAATCAGCCGAGTGTTTTTGTGTTCTGTGTGATGTTGTTTTTCTTCGGCTGTCACTATGCGCTGATTGCAGTCAAACCTGAACAGTGCCGTGAAGAAGGGGACGATAAAGTCTGAGTCTAATACTTCACGTCTTTAAACACAACACAATCACTATTATTTTAATGATTGTAGCATCAAAAAAGAATCAAATCTTGACCGGTGCAGAGAGAAATGTCTAAAGTGCACAATCACATTGGAAATGTTTTGGCACTAAAACATTGCCAACTTGTTTGTGCGATTTAGACAGTGTGCAGGAGTTTCAATTTTTGCTGCAATAAAAACAAGAAATGACTCGATCATTGGTGTCAAGGGCGTTCATTTTTGTTGCCATTGTGTCGTAACAGGTATCTCTATTGGTTGAGTTTATACAGTGTTGTATCATAGTTTAAATTCTGGTGAAGAGATGCAACATAGGATTTATTACGACTAATTTATCCTTAAAAAAGTGAATATTTTGTGGCAGCGGTAGCCAAGCAACTCCCGTGTTCTGTACAGCAAAAAAACTGATTCTGTCAGTGGAGTCTGGTGGGTTTGAAGCGAGGGACATAACGGCATCAATCATCTTCCTCTGTAACGAACAGGTTGTTCTCTGTAGGGATCCTTTCTGTTATGGTAGAATAACAATTTGAGCCTGACGGGGACAAAAACAAAAGCTTTAAGTGGACGTTCATTTACCCTCAATGATTATGTTATGGCTGCAAGTTGGAGCAAACTACTTCTCTTAAATGTCTCTGTACCTATCAGTGATATAGATCTTAAAAACATGTAAAAATAGGGCCCAGGTCTAAAAATACCTGAACATCGCTCTAACAATCACATCACAGATCAGCTTCTGTGAAGTCTGAGCTGTTTGAAGAGCAAGCAGAGAGCTATGAGTTTGCACATTTTCATTCCTCTCCAAGAAAGCAGAGCAGCTGATTCCAGTGATCAGCAGCTTCAGTCAGCGAGAGGAAATAATCAGAGAAATCAGCCGCTGCTTGTTTCTCCACCAAACTGCTGGAGCGGCAGCGTTAACGCAGCTCAGAGGAAAAAGGCGAGGACGAACGAGGAGTGCTAATAATAATGATGCTGCAGCACTAATCTGAACGTCCAGCAGGAAAAGGTCGTTGGACTCAACTGGGAGCAGAAAGACACCGAGCACATTAAACACTTTGAAAATAATAAGGTGGAATCATTGAATGCCAAAGGTCCAAAGCACTGGATGAAAAAAACGACTCTCTGCCCGTGTGGTCAAAGATAATTACCACAGCACAGCTGGAGCATCTGTTCGAGACGTGCAAATTAATCACAGGATGATTCCTGTGACTAAAAATGCAAAAAAGGTTTCTCCCTAAATTGTCCTCGTTAAAGCAAACTTGGAGTTTTTGTGCGCTGTTTGCA